TTTGTATGTAATTGATTTACGATCTAATTACTAGTCTGCTGGTTTTTTCAGAGTGCTCCCCTGCCAATCTTGGAGAGTCATGAGCTTGCGAGCATGACCTTGGAGTACAGGAGGGAGTGCAGGAGGGACAGTGTTGTGCAGTCCCTTTCTTCTGTGTTGAGCAAGGGTGTCGGTGACCTGGCTGATTCAGGTTTTGTCGAATGCCAGCATTTGCTTCGACTCGAGGGTGGGGCTGAGGTTGTGAAGGGCAGGACTGGGTGGAGGCCCAAATATGCAAACAGGATTGGGAGTTTTGGCCACCTTCCTGCAGAAAGCAACTAGTGCCTATTTTTGACTGGGACTGCATTAGTGTTGTTGCTGCGTGTCACAATGCCTGTGCAGAATCCTAGTGCTCTCGGATTCATATATGTTTTCCTCTTATCTATATATATTGCTTATCTATATTTTTGCCCTTTCTAAGACAGAAAAAGTTGTATGCCCATTGTAAGTAACCCCCCCCCCCCCTTCTCTCTCTCTCTCTCTCTCTCTCTTAGTTGTCTTTGAAGTTCTTGCTGGATTCACTTCTTGAATGTGGCGACTCATGCATTTTTCCGTTTTTGTGGCAATTCTTTATTATTTATTATAAGTAATGCTTTTCTGGTGGCCCATCTTTCTTTGAACATTGCTTGTGGTGGACAAAGTCTATCTTTAGAGAATTGGCCAGTTTTTGCTTTTGGGTGACATTCAACTTTCAATGTTTGATATTTTTTTACATATTTGCATTATTGATTATCAAGCTGACCATGAAATTAGGATATTTTCTTGTCTGTTTTTTGTTTTCTCCATGACTTCTATAAAGGGAGTAAGGTTTTCTTCCACGCCTGTTCTATGGTGATTTCGGTATCCTAATCCAACTTTTACACGAAGCTATGTACGATTCAATGTTGATGCCATTCCACATGCTCAAGATGGTACGACCGATGTTAGGAAAAAACGGAAAAAAAAAAAATTATTCAAACCTTTGAGATCATTGCAATCCCCCTAACAAGTGGGGATTGATCCCAAATATTTTTGGGTCGATACTGAGTATCAAATTATAACGAGTTCTATTTGAATCATAGCTCGACTTGATTGTGTCGTAATTTTTACTAGAATAACGTCTTTTGCAGTAATAGATTTCTCCAATCCTGAATCACCCACCCACGGTATAATGGTAAAGGTTCACTTGAATATAGTAAATCTCAATGATAAATTCTGATAAAAACAATTAATGATAAATAATGTTAAATTAACCGAAAAAAACTAGAGTCGGAAGTGGATCTAGATCCAATTTTGCTACATCATAGAAAGTCGTTGTTTTTACTTTCTCAAGAGTAAATTACATTTTATCCCCTTTAAACTATTACTGTTGTTTCACTTTATATTTTAAATTATAAAATTTCTTATATTACGCTACAAAATATTAATTTTGTTTCATATCACTCAAATAAATAACGACAAACTTAAAAATCTGACAAATAAGGGAGGAAAACCCTAAGATGTTCTCGTTAAGTGCCTAGTACTATTTTATTTTACCTATTTTTGCAACCAAATGATTGTTGAAAAAAAAAAAAAGAGTCGGCCAGAGAGAAAATTTGAAGCTTAGGAAAGGTATGCTCATTTATTGTCAAAAAATTGATAGTTGCTATCTATTGGAGTGATATAAAATAAAATTGATACTTTACGATACAATGTAAAAAAAAATTTAATCTATAATATAAAACAAAGCAAGTTTCAATAAGGTCATCCGACAGTCTTAAATAGACTCATCTAACGGTCACCAACATCCCTTTCAAAATCATTCACATTATATTGTGTCTTTAGGCATTGATTACACCCTAGTTAAGGATATAAAGTAAAACAAAGATAATAATTTACGAGGATAAAGTATAATTTACCTTTACCCTAAACACTCCCTCTGTCCGAAGTGACCCATATTCCCTGGTCATTCCCATGAGTTAATGCTTGACAATTATGCATAATGATATGGGTTGTTAGATCAATGAATATGATGTAGTCACATTATTTGGTGTAGTTAAAAAAATTTGTTATTTAAAATAAAAATTGTGCATTATCAATGTTCAATTTTTCATATTACAAAATTATTTTTCTCCCAATATATCATCCACCATTATATTTTTTAAAGAATAATACGTTATTCGAATCAAAATCCCCCATCACCCACCCCAAATTTTCAACTACCATTCTCTCCCCCCTCTATCTAACCAACAACTTCAAAAAAATCACCAAAAACGTGGAGGTTAAAATCATGAACAGCGTATTCCATGCATCACCATCAATATGGAAGAAAAAAATGTGTAAAGAGGTTAAAAGCTATGCTCAAAAGTACATGTGGGTATCCACACTTTTTTTATTTTTTAATCAATAGTTAAAAATATACAAATTAAAACTAAAAGACACATTAATTTTGGTACGATATTGTAATTTATTAAAGCCTGGAAACCTAAGAGTTATCCTCTTTCATTGTTAGAACTTAACATGATAAAGTTTAAACTCCAGTCATTCTCTCTTTATAATAGCACCCGACAAAAACAAAAAGGAAAAACAGAAAGAGTAGTTTATCAAAGCCCTATAAAGCCATAAGAGTGAGCACCAGAAGGTAAAGACAACATCTGGTTTACACACTGTGTATAGCCATCACTCTCTCACCTCTTTCCCTAGTCCCTACCGCCCTCCTCCTCCTCCTCTATCATCTTTGTCGGCTCCTCCTCCATAGAGGATATATTCTGAGAAGTGTTTAGAGATTTAGAGAGAAAAAGTAAGATGTATGCACCACCAAGGTATCAAGAGATGTCCTACTTCAATCAAGTCCAAAGACAACGTCGAGAGATGTATCTTTAAAATTGAACTTAATAGAATAAACAACTTATCCATACACTTTTCCTCAAATAAGTCTAAAAAATTATACCCACACCTAAAAAAACCCTTTAATTAATAAAATTTGATGACATGAATTCGCGTGGATGAGCGGAGAGNTATCATCTTTGTCGGCTCCTCCTCCATAGAGGATATATTCTGAGAAGTGTTTAGAGATTTAGAGAGAAAAAGTAAGATGTATGCACCACCAAGGTATCAAGAGATGTCCTACTTCAATTAAGTCCAAAGACACCGTCGAGAGATGTTTCTTTAAAATTGAACTTAATAGAATAAACAACTTATCCATACATTTTTCCTCAAATAAGTCTAAAAAAGTATACCCACACCTAAAAAACCCTTTAATTAATAAAATTTGATGACCTGAATTCGCGTGGATGAGCGGAGGGAATGAATGGTACTTGGTGACCTAGAACTGAGCTACAAGGCTCGTGAGAATTGAGTGGAAATTGTTGGGGAATTGGGGGAGATTTACACAGTGAAATTATAGTGATTCACTGGCTCGGAGAGTTCGGCTAATCCACTCTTCAATGGTGATTCTTATTTCTTTCGTTTCAGTAATGGGGGATGCAGTTTACAATCGACCTCTGGTTCTCCTAGGGTTCTTATTTTCTCTCCCCCTTTTACTGGAGGCATCATACAATATTTATAGAGCAGCTCCTAGTTTCGTGGGATTTGCACCGAAATCCTTGTCATTTGTCCGGGGGATCCTCCTTGATTTTTGGGAGAGGATCTTCGCTGTTTGGGGGGTTTTTGCCTTGAATACAATTCTTTGCCACCCGTAGGGTTTCTGCTAATATCCAGTTGTCCTCTCTGCTAATATCCAATTATTCTCCCATCTTTTCCACTATTGTCTTGCTTGGGAGGAGCTCTAGCTCTGATCCTCTGAACTCTGCGTGATTTGTTTAACCTCTTTGCTTGAGTTCATACTTATAAGTTTTCCTATGGTATCATCAAAATCAATAATTTTTTTCTTATGAAACCCACTAAACCAACTATCCAATTTCATTTGATAATTTTTTGTTTAACTTATTTAGTAAGAACACNATATTTATAGAGCAGCTCCTAGTTTCGTGGGATTTGCACCGAAATCCTTGTCATTTATCCGAGGGATCCTCCTTGATTTTTGGGAGAGGATCTTCGCTGTTTGGGGGGTTTTGCCTTTAATACAATTCTTTGCCACCTGTAGGGTTTCTGCTAATATCCAGTTGTCCTCTCTGCTAATATCCAATTATTCTCCCATCTTTTCCACTATTGTCTTGTTTGGGAGGAGCTCTAGCTCTGATTCTCTGAACTCTGCGTGATTTGTTTAACCTCTTTGCTTGAGTTCATACTTATAAGTTTTCCTATGGTATCATCAAAATCAATAAATTTTTTCTTATGAAATCCACTAAACCAACTATCCAATTTCATTTGATAATTTTTTGTTTAACTTATTTAGTAAGAACGCCAGTTCCCATTTAACTTGCGATTATAATTATATTCTTGAATTTGATCATCAAATATTGAAAGTAAAATGTAAACAAAATAAATGTAAAATAATTTGTATACCCTTATAGCGGATTAGTATGAGTTGGTTTATAAAGCATAGGGAGAAAAATCATGACCAACTAAAATCAAAAGGGCGTAAGAAATAATTTATCCAAAATGATGTTTGTTATTAATTTGTGTGTAATTTTGATTGCAGCTTGTTTGCATTGTGTTGCTGCTTCGAGGTTCTGTGCTGTTGCAGCCCTTGAAGAGATTAGGATTATTCTCATCAAAAGTTATAATAATGTAACTGTTAACTGTTCTTTTTTCTTTTTTTATAACCTTTACTGCTTTTCAAATTACGTAAATCTGTAGCTTAGTAATTAAGTTATCATTAAATGAAATATATTGGAGTAACCAATCATGCTGGTTACCGATACTTGCTTTTTTGTGGGAATTCTGGTAAGTAAATCTGCAGGACCGACACGATCTAAAAACAACCTTGAGTTGAGTTTTAATAAGTAACACCAACCCTCATCCACCTGTAATCACAAAATCAACTACCTACCAAACCTACCTGTAGTATCAGACAAGCCTGCTAAAAGTGAGAAAAAAACAAAACAAACCAAAAACCCAATTGAAAAGGAAGATACAAAAGCCAAGGATACATGGCCATTACACAATATGTGATGTAAATCAATTTGTTCTCAGCTCACTGTACGTTCGGGCAATTCAGATCATAGGCCAACTTCGGGGTTAATATTTATGGCGAAAATGCATGGCTCGACTCTTTAAACGCAGCGTATGTCTCGCATGAAGAAGTCTTAAACATGTATAAAATAGAAGAGCACCACGGATTTACCACCTCATTGGTTTAACGTCAAACTGTTAAAAAAGCATGTATAGCTGCTGTTGTTTATGGCCACACTGCTGCATTTTTCTTTGTTCCATTGGAATATAATTCTCAATATCAATCAACAAATTTCACTGCTGATCAACCAGGCCATGCCAGTTTGATCGAGAGAGTCGGTAGAGTTGACAATACAAACTATGCTCATTTTGCGTTGAATACTGCACCATAGAACATGTTCAGTATATACAGAAGAAATGAGTGCCGCAGCCCACTAAGTAGTTTCCACACTAGGCTTCCTTCTGTCCATCGAAGCAAAAGACCTTAGGAATAATATGTAGTGAGAAAAGACGCAATTTCTTAATGAAATATCTAAAACATTGCAAAATTGATTGATCTTCCAGATAAATTCAAATTCCTCCTTTTTCTGTAAAGAAGCTTTTAACAATTAAAATTTAGACTCCAATGCTCTGTCAAAAAGGAAGAACTGCATGCAATGCTACACAAACCATTATGATATTGAAAGGTGCAACCAGCAGTTCCCAACCATGTGGATGTAGCAAGATTTATTTTTCCAAAAAAAAGCTGTAGCCAAGCTATTCAGACAGAAGTACTTCAAGCTTATTTAGATTTTGCAATACAAGTACATACTGTATACATCATATGTTTCTGTAGTATTTTTTTCCCGCCCCTATTGTCTTTTCTCTACCTTTACTTACTTTCTCTCTATTTGACTCATTCTTTTTGNTTTCTGTAGTATTTTTTTCCCGCCCCTATTGTCTTTTCTCTACCTTTACTTACTTTCTCTCTATTTGACTCAGTTTGAGCAGGCTTATCACTACAGCTACAGCGGTGACAGCTTCAAAGCCTCAAAGATTGGGATAGCATCAATTAAACTATATAATAATGTCTAGTGAGCTCCACTCAAAGAGGTCACTGTTGATTTCAATTGCAGAAGCTTATAAAATATTGTCATCCTCATAATGTTAGGAAGAGAGAATACCAATAGGACAAAACCCAGCAGGGTATCAAAGCCAGCAAACGTGAAATAAGAAAAACCAAAACAGAAGAGTGATAAAAGGAGTTTTAGAAGTATCAAATTGAGAAACATAAGCATGGGTGTCACCTAAATTGATCCCGAATCTGTACATTTGGCAAAGGATGGCAGAATACCTCAGGCATCGATCCTGCCTTCCATTTCCAATGATAGTGAAACCTTCCAAGAGAAAAAAGAGCTGTTGCATCAAAGCATCCAAACCAGATGCACAAGAATGAGTACATATTGATAAAAGAGCAATTACCTGATAAGTGCAAAGGTTTAACTGAAGGGGGCAAAACAGTGAACCAAATCAACCTCGCCACCCCCTTCCTCTTCTCTCCCTTCCCCTTCCTCTCCCTCTAAAATCCGTTCTATCCAAGGCTCTAGCATCACCTCTTTCAAAATTGAACATGCTCATTCTTATATCCTCTGCCTCCGTAACATGAGGACCCTTTTGCACCTGAGAAGTTGCCAAACTTGTGATAGTGACACATACAGAAAATGAAAAGCGCCTGATTTCACTCAATTTCAACTCACCTCCATTTTGAAAATGAAAAGCGCCTACTGAAAATATTATCACGATATGAAAATTTCAGTTCTCATCTAAGTACATTTTTTCACACTTCTGATGATGACAATGATGATAATTATTATATCAGGATAATCATCATCATTATGACCATGAAAACTGTGATTGAAATAATTCATCTAGAAGCAAGGATGCTGACCTGAATATCTTCCAAATCAAATTGCCTTTGAAGCTGCAGTGCAAGTTCCTCATCTTGGTTNAGGATAATCATCATCATTATGACCATGAAAACTGTGATTGAAATAATTCATCTAGAGGCAAGGATGCTGACCTGAATATCTTCCAAATCAAATTGCCTTTGAAGCTGCAGTGCAAGTTCCTCATCTTGGTTGGGCAGCTCCTCTCTCATTACAAGGTTTACACCAGCTTTTCTCCTTTCCCATTCATCTAGAGTGAGAACGGGTGACTCCTCCTGCTTTCCTTTTCCCCTATGTCTTTGACCTCGGGAATGACGATCATCCCGGTTTGGTTGACTCATTTTCTGGAAGAGTTTTTGTGCAGCCACTTGATTGTGAACAGGTATGGATTCAGCTGCTGAAAGATAATGATATTAAAATCAGTATAATCACACAAACTTAATGACAGATTTTACAATTTAAAGAAATTATAATTGGGGGTTGTTCAGAATTGCATGTCAAAAAAATAAGTACACGTGTTATTCATAGAGACAAAATGAATCCATTTTCTATTCTAGACACGTCTTTAGGAAAAGTCTATAGTGACTTCTGAGAAGCCTCAACTTCGCAATGTACCTTCTTTTGGTCTTGATTCAGAGCTGGTTGGCTTTTCCTCAATACATGCATTCTGGGCATCTGATTTCGCATTCTCACTTTTCCTATCCACTTTTGAATCACGGTTATCAACTTTACCCCTCTCCTCATATTCATAACTTTTACCTTTTTCTGTATGAGTGGGCCGATAGCTCTTAGACGACAACACAGTTTTCTCTGCAGTCCATGAAACTTGATGGAGTTACACAAGCAATCCTCTTGTATACTTAAAGCACTTGCAGTTTTATTCAAACTCCATAATAACATCATATATGTTTCTATTTCCAAAATACTCTTCTGGTGTGGAGTGAAAGCCAATATAGAATGTACGAACATACACAAATACACAGATATTAAACATATGTATAAGCTGAGATAGAGAACAAAGAAAAGCTTCAAAATACTGACGAGAAAATTTGCCTTGCTGCACTGACATTTGCGAAGAAGCCACAATTTTCAACTTCTCAAATGGTGGAGGACCACCAGCTTCAGTTTCCTGTGATAGCCTGGATGAGCGGGAGAAACCTCCATATTTTTGGTTCATCTGCCATTCTTCATATAGCGACTGAACAACACCTCCTAATATGGTTATCACTTTAGCATCCAAACACACAATACCACTACGAATCATAGCTTTATTTTTCAAAAGGACCTGCCACCAGAATGCAAAAGAAAACTAAGACAGGTAGTTTATATATATATATATCACATTATTGGAAATCAATAGACAAGTAGGGCAAGCTACATATAAACTAGAACCGGTTGTCAATAAATTGAGGTTACGATGACCAAAGATGAATATAACCCCTAATGAGAAAATGACACAATTCATGCATTAGAGACTGATTTCCCTTTATTTTAATTGCTGAGCAAATTTTAGGAGCTTGTTGAGTTTTTTGCTGGAAATATTCATAATAATTTGCCATTTTGGACACGGAAATTCTTGTGACCATGCAACATTGAACTCAAATTTGACTCTAATATTCATATTTTTTTATGAAGGTAAATGTAAATAAAAATTTAAGTTCAGCAATCGAACTCAACCAATCCCACCGAACTAAACTTAGCATAATCAAAGTCGATAAGCTCAACTCAATTCCACAAACTCTAAGAAGTCTAGAAACCCTTGTCACCGAAAACAAAGGTACACATGTTGAAATAGTTAGGTTTGTACACAATCTACCCCTCGTAGACCCCATTAATGACGACTAAACTGCTTAAAAGTCTATGTTGGTCGCCTTAGTAGATGAATTACTGTTATGCCGAAAGCTTATTTCTCAATCAAAAAGAAACTTGTATTGTTACACACAGAAAACATCTAGACGTACACCTCATATCGTCTGATTAAACACAATTCAATGAAAATAATCACTGCAACCAACTAAAATCAAGAGTACCTTAGTTCCAGGAACAACATTATCAGGAATGGAGGGTATAGGGGAGTACTCTATAGCAGTTATCTCAGAGTGCCCATCAGTGAGCTTCAACCTCAATAGACGCCGATGATTATTCGAATTTCCTAAACTCTCCGCTGCTATACTTCGTGATATGTCCCTCACAGAAGCTATCTATGCAGGCAAAAAAAAAAAGATAATAATGATTTTGAACTGGAAAAAGCACCCGAGTGGGTGTGCGAGTTCACATGAGAGAGAGAGAGAGAGAGGGTGATTACCTGAAGGACTTTGGGGGCTTGGAGATGAGAGGCTTTGCGNTATATATATATATATCACATTATTGGAAATCAATAGACAAGTAGGGCAAGCTACATATAAACTAGAACCGGTTGTCAATAAATTGAGGTTACGATGACCAAAGATGAATATAACCCCTAATGAGAAAATGACATAATTCATGCATTAGAGACTGATTTCCCTTTATTTTAATTGCTGAGCAAATTTTAGGAGCTTGTTGAGTTTTTTGCTGGAAATATTCATAATAATTTGCCATTTTGGACACGGAAATTCTTGTGACCATGCAACATTGAACTCAAATTTGACTCGAATATTCATATTTTTTTATGAAGGTAAATGTAAATAAAAATTTAAGTTCAGCAATCGAACTCAACCAATCCCACCGAACTAAACTTAGCATAATCAAAATCGATAAGCTCAACTCAATTCCACAAACTCTAAGAAGTCTAGAAACCCTTGTCACCGAAAACAAATGTACACATGTTGAAATAGTTAGGTTTGTACACAATCTACCCCTCGTAGACCCCATTAATGACGACTAAACTGCTTAAAAGTCTATGTTGGTCGCCTTAGTAGATGAATTACTGTTATGCCGAAAGCTTATTTCTCAATCAAAAAGAAACTTGTATTGTTACACACAGAAAACATCTAGACGTACACCTCATATCGTCTGATTAAACACAATTCAATGAAAATAATCACTGCAACCAACTAAAATCAAGAGTACCTTAGTTCCAGGAACAACATTATCAGGAATGGAGGGTATAGGGGAGTACTCTATAGCAGTTATCTCAGAGTGCCCATCAGTGAGCTTCAACCTCAATAGACGCCGATGATTATTCGAATTTCCTAAACTCTCCGCTGCTATACTTCGTGATATGTCCCTCACAGAAGCTATCTATGCAGGCAAAAAAAAAAAGATAATAATGATTTTGAACTGGAAAAAGCACCCGAGTGGGTGTGCGAGTTCACATGAGAGAGAGAGAGAGAGAGAGAGGGTGATTACCTGAAGGACTTTGGGGGCTTGGAGATGAGAGGCTTTGCGGAGAACAGAAGGGTCAGGCAAGGACGGGCCACCGACGGATCGCAAGTCCAAGTTGGAGAGTTCCGATTCGATCAAATCGACGGTCAAGGACTCGTCGTGCAAGGCTGATTGGATTGCGATCACTGCTTTGACTTCATCTGTTTCTCCGAAGCACCAGCCTCTGGTAGTTAGGGTTTGTAGCAGAGTTTCATGGGCAATCGAAGTGGAAGTCGCCATTCACGCCTGAGAGGTGCGCTGTTGTTGCGAGAGGAGAGAGAGAGGAAGATCTTTATAGTTGAGGGGGCTTGGGCCTTAGCTAATGGGCCTTATGTGTTGATTGTTGGACAATTTATTAGGTTGGAGAAAGGCTTAAACCATAATGCTCTGTTTGGTCAGAGAAAAATGGGGTGGATGCAAAATGGAACGAAGATAAAACATTTTTACTGTTTGTGAGGAAGAAAAATGAGAGGAAAAGGAAAGTTGGGAGGAATCTCTTTCCCCTCCGCCCACCAAAACCTTTCCCCCAAATTTGGGCGAAAAATGAGAGAGCAAAAAATGGATTTTGATGAAGAAGACGATAGTTTTACTTCTCTATAGTTTTACTTTTCTACCCTTTGTTGCTCAATCATGGGTTATACAGATTTATCACCTGATTCTAGCTATTCAAGCTCTTCAAACATGTGGCGGCTACATTAATTGGCATGTGGTGGTCATTGGAGAGCATAGTTTAAGTTAGGGGTGTAATTTGGGCAGGTTGGACGGATTTAGTCCATTTCTAATTTTAACTCAAACTCGACCTCAATCTGAAATACTTAATTCGAGTATTGTCCAAATTAATTTCAGACAAGTTCAGGTTGAAATCGAATTATTTAATTCATGTCGTCAATTCGGACTCAACAAACAATAATTTTAAATTATGTGTGAGCCTCACAATATTAGACTACTACATAAATCATGTTTCACTCTTTCTTTCACCGTCTATAGTTCTTATAAATCATGTTTGACTCTCTCTTTAAATAATAATAATTACAAATGTGTTTTTTTTTATATAAAATACATGAAATTTGATTGAGTTTGGGTTAAACCCGTGAACCTGAGCATTTAATCCGAACCTTGTCCGAATTCAATTCAAGTTAAAATTTTTTAACCCTAACCCTAAAAACCTCAACTCTAACATTGTTTTTTATCGAGTTGATCTGCCCAAGTTGCGTTCCAGTTTAAATTGGCCACTTGTGTTTTGAATGTTTGGGAGGAAGTGTTTGCTTTTGTCAAGTCTATGATACTAACTTCCAATACCATAAAACAATTCATCTTTATTATTAATTTNGATCTGCCCAAGTTGCGTTCCAGTTTAAATTGGCCACTTGTGTTTTGAATGTTTGGTCGGAAGTGTTTGCTTTTGTCAAGTCTATGATACTAACTTCCAATACCATAAAACAATTCATCTTTATTATTAATNATTTTTTTATGAAGGTAAATGTAAATAAAAATTTAAGTTCAGCAATCGAACTCAACCAATCCCACCGAACTAAACTTAGCATAATCAAAATCGATAAGCTCAACTCAATTCCACAAACTCTAAGAAGTCTAGAAACCCTTGTCACCGAAAACAAATGTNTTGAGTTTAATAATTTATAATTATTAATTAAAAATTTCAAAAACAATAAAATGTAAAAACTTTTAACACATTATATTTTTATTTGATGAAAAATAAAAGTACAATACTAAAAAATGACAATTTGATACCGTCACATGAACTAACCATGTAATTCGGTTTGCCTAAGATTATTTACAATAGAAAAAATTGATTTTCATATATAAAGGTATAATAGTAAACTAAGTTTGTGTTTATTTTTCTTTCCTTTCATTTTTCCTTCAATACCAAACAATAGAAAAATAATTCTTCTAACTTTCCATACATCTTACCAAACAAAAAACAGAGAGAAACTATTTTTCCTTCCTTCAATAATAAAAAGTTTATCTCTTCTACGAAATAGACCATCCGTAAAATATATATATATAATCGTGAAAAAATAAAAAGCATATTGATTCTATAGATAAGGGTTCATTTGATTGTCTCTTTATGCAAAAATAAATTACATAAAGAATAATCCACAAAAATTGATACTTTCTATTAAAAAAAAAACATGTGCATCGTAAACAGTATGAAAACAACCTTGACAGATGAAACCAACTTTAGTCCCATTTCACTAACTATTAGGGCTACAAAACAGAGTGAGTACTGACTTCTAAGCACAAATTGGAACTGCTAGAGAGTGAAAGATCTAAAAGCCTCTATTTCCTGCTTTACAAATTTAAACCAGTATATTCAAAAGTATATATCAGAAACCTGCTGAAGAAGCTATACCCCATTGGTGTATTTTTGAGGGAAAAAAATGGAGATTTAAATCGACTTCCAGAGCTTGATAAAACTGTCATGACTAGCTGCAGCAACCAAACCAGAACTTTGTGACACCGCCAAGGCATCGGTTGGTTCGCTGAGAAGAGTCATCACCTTGTTCTCAGCCATGTTCCAAAGCTCCAGAGACTGAAACTCACACAATTTACATCAATGGCAAACACTTAATGCTTCCTTCTGAGAAAAAAAAAAAAAGAAAACAAAGACATCATACCTTGGCACTTGGCCTGCCAATGGATCAGATTTGGACCAAATTTGTATTGATGTAAATTTGAATCCGATTTGCAAAATATAATTCAATTATCTAACATATTTTATGTTCACAATTCATATTTGAATCTAGTAAAAATTGGAGACCGATCCCAATACTGATCTCATCAAAATAACTTAATTGAGGTTGATTTAGCAAGCTACACCTAAATTGAAACTCAATTTTGTCAAGGGATCAGTCAATTACCTATAATCATTTATGTTATAATAGAACTTGGAAGTAGTATAATTGGAAAGAGAGTCCAAGAAGTATGATATAATGGATTTGAATTCGGATAATTGGTCAGATTGGATTGGATCGATTTGGATTAAAATCCAGTCCATTGGTAAGCATAGTTAGACCACTGGCAAGGGAAGGCCTGAGGGTACTTATTTTATTTCCATGCAGATAAAGCACCAGAATTAAGCTATAAACTTTCAATCTCTAACAGTTTTTCAAGCACTGGCTTCCGATAGTAAAACGAATACTGGCATCCTATGCACGAAATTTGCGGGCTCAAGTTTGTGATGTAGCTAAATATTGAAATTGCATATAAAGTACAACAGAAGAGACTTGCCTGAGAGCAGCCAATGACCAACACAGAAGGGTACCGGGGATGAAAAGTGCAGCACTGGAACTTTTTGCCAATGTTGCTCAACTCATCAATGCAGTCCCGTCCTCCTCCAGAGCCAATTTTCCAGACTCTGACCGAATCTTCACTCACCGATGCCAGATGCTCACCGGAAGAACTCCAGCACACCGAAATAACATTTAGTCTATGACCCTGCATGACAATCACACAAGAAACAGAAAATCACAGTAGATGTCATGCCTAACATTCTTCATTGTATTCAAAAAATAATACGACAAAGAAAATTGTACTCCTTTATCCCTAGTGATCCACCATAAAACAACATTCATTGCTACCAGAGTACCAATAAGGAGACAGCCAATTTCCTTTTTTCTTTATTATTTTAATTTCTTTCTAAAATATTCCTATGTTTTTTTTTTTGGTGGATCAGTGGAATGCTTTGTGATTTTTTTTATTTATTTCCAGCCTTCAAATGTCAAGTCTCTCAATCAATCAAAGCTATTCAATAAACTGGCTCTGAATCACCAATACCCTGAAAGTATGTGCTATAAGCCAGATATCATGATGGTTTACCGCAGGTCCAGGTAGTTTTAGGTGCCCATAGGGAATATTAATGGGCAAAGTAAGCCATTGAGAGCAATACAGTAGCTGCAGAAGAAGATTCATATTTGCAATTTGGCGAATTCTCCATTGGCAACTTCAGAAACTTTTGCCCTATATGTATGGAATCCAAATTAACAGAAGGCCCTAACAAACACCAAAGAACATAACCAATTTGGATGGTTAAACACAAACGCAAACAAATTAATCCACGTAGGATTGTCGATTTTGAAGTTGTGGACAAAGTATGGTGAAACCCTCCAGGAAAGCAGCATACAGCATGCAACATTGTTTTGTCACTAGAAATGGTGCTTGCATTTTATAAATTGAAAAGTAACAAAATAGGGAACCTAGATATTGCACCTTGTATTTTGATGTGAATTTTGTTGCCAACGTATGCTCAAAGGGCTAGTATCATGACATTACTATTTTGATTTGTTTGATTTTCTATCCAAATAACAATGCAGTTTGTGGATAAGAGTTGGTGTGGGAAATCTTCCACAAAAAAGCTATATTCGATGATAGATGAAAAATTAAAAATTTAGAACATGTCCTTTTGGCCTTTTCTATGTATTAGATCAAACAACCCAAGCATGTAGCTCATAGCACAAGGAGATATGCTCAACATATCAATTGTCATAAGGAATTTTAGACCATAAAAAATTAGAAGGAAGAGATTTAAAAACTAACAACCAACCTTTAATGGATGTCTGTAAGTTTGGGTAGTCTCTACATCCATTATGGATACACCATTCCCCACAACAGCTGCAAGGTACCTTCCAAGACTAGGTTGGAACCTAACCTGGGTTGCACCTCCCTAACAAATCAGAAAAGTAGAATCCAATAATGTAAGATAAAACCCCAAAAAGTAAGAGGATAATGTTTATAAATGATTTAGGTGGTGTATGAACAAACAGTTCTGCTGTTTCATACCTTCAACACTCCAGCGCAACTACCATTTTTTATACTCCAGTATCGAATTGTGCTAACATCATCACAAGAGCAGATCAGGTCCTCCTTGTTTGGGTGGAAGTCCAGTGACATAACAGGGGTATCATGCCCAGTAAATGTTCGAAGGGAATAGTCGAGCTGCATAGTGGAAACTTATATCCCATTTAGAAAATTATCCAGAGAGGTATAATCATCATTATCAAAGCATCCGAAAAAATTAGCATAATCAATTCAATTTCTGACATTGATTGTGCCCACTCAAAAAAAGGCAAAAATAAACCCCCATTAATTATCTACTGTAAGCCATCTTTTCACCAATTCAGCAGGCATGAATAACACATCACTCTTCTAAATTATTTATAAACACAACTTTAAAGTCTAATTCAAACAAAAAATTGATGGCTTAATTGTACAACTTTCACAATGCCATTGTATCCATTTATGAGAACACCAGGAGATCAAATACTACTAACCACCATGAGCAAGCAAAGGTTGTATTACATAAATTTCATTCAGAAACCAAAGATAACAGCATTGACAAATTCTTGTAAATTGACAGGTTTCTAACACAATTCAGCATGTGATTGACATTGGGTTCGTCCAATTTTATGAAACTTAATCAATTGCAACTTCATTCAATTTCATAACTATCACCATTCTTTATATATGCCAATCACACACGTACATAATCACGCATACACACATACACACACAGATTCAGCATCTGCAATCTGATAATTTGGCCATGTCATAAAATTTCAGAAAAATTGGGTTTCTTATGACAGCCTAAAATATACTAACATCACAAGACACCTGAATTGATCAATTGGGCAAGCCTAAACAAACTATTTCTTCCACTAGCAGATCAGGTTGAGCCATAAAAAGAACATGTTGACTAACTTTATCAACATCCCAAATTCTGATGGTTTTGTCATGCGACGATGTAGCAAGCTGTGGCATTCTTGGACAAAAACGGACATCAGTAATGGCATCAGAATGTTCTTTTAATATAGACTTTTGCTCTCTGGAATCTGTGCACCATAACATAGCCTGCACAACAGAATCATCAAGCAAAAAGGTTGGTGATACCTTGAAAGAGATCAAAAATTTTAATTAAAATTCCTGGTCTCTCCATCTGCATGCTTCCTGTTTGAAGTTTAAATATCACACAACATTGTCAATCATACAATCCTCACCTTTTTATCACGTCCACCAGTTGCAAGCAGCTTTCCATCCAATGAGAAGTCACAACAACTAATTTTACTTGCACCAATACTCCCGATTTCCGACAATGTAGCATCTATTTTTCAGTAAAAAGACATCATGCCCTCGAATTACATGAAAACACAGCCAAAAGAAAACAAGATAGCTTTAGTCAAACCTTTGCTCACATCCAGTCTCTGAGTTATTGTGTTTTCAGGGTTTGCATCATCAGGAGATAAGAAAAACTCAACATTATCAACCAATGATCCATTGTCCACGAAATCCTCCATATCAGCCTGCAATTTTGAATCAGTTCTATTATCCCACCGCAGAGAAAGAACTCCTTCAAAGTATGAATTTTCTGATATATATAAAATCATGCAACTGGCATAGGCCTACTTATAAGGAAGATATAATATTATGACTTTTCAATGGATAGTACTATTTTGTGCAGATCAAAAGCCATTGCTTGAAACACAAATCAATTAATTTGTGTAATCTAATTTAAGTCATCTATTTTACACAAGCCTTTTAACTATATTTTTCATATCATATATCCTTCCACTTAATATCGTCTCTGATTTTCTGTGCTTTTTTCTCTGCAATAATCCAATATACTCATTGTGCAAGGGAAAAAGAACAGGACATACATGCGCAATCTTTGTCGCGATACATTAAGAAAATCCAATTATGAATGAAACATTATTTAGGTTATTTGCTTCGAAATAAAGTATCATTATACATATTTATTACTAGTAAGATTTTAATAGGGTCCATCTAATGGCTAGACCTGACATCATGAAACTTCTTCCCAGATTATAAAAACCTAGTAAAACAAATACACTTACCAATTTCTTTTGAGCTGAACTGAGTGTGCCCACACCCATACCATCATCAGCAAACATATAAGGCCTAGAAGAACCATCCTTACGTGGAAAACTAGGCATTGAAATCACATCTCCTGTTGTGTTCGTCGAGGATGTTGAGGGTGCTGAACAGAGTGACGGTCTAGTGGTCTTTGCTGTTCCTGAGCTATTTGCAGGACCCGAAGATGACATTGTCTGCTTTCTCTTTCGCTTAGTTTGATTCCATGAGGCCTAAATATGTAAGGAAAAATACATCATTAAAACCGAACAGTGGATGTCAAATTGCCATCAATCTTGTTATAGTGATAGACTTCAGGATTTGGAGAGGACTTGAGTCTTGGAGTGACCAATGGGTATTTGATCCAATGGTACTCCTTATCTTGTGAAGATTTTGTCTTTTTGAGGTTAAGGATTAAAGTCCCCCTCCAAAAAAAAAAACAAAAAAAAAAGAGTTTTGGAGTAAGCAGCAATCAGAATGACATCAAAGATTATCACGACGATGCTTAACGGAACACACAGAAATCTATTAGAACTTAAGCATGAATTAGAATCTTGGAAACACAAAGTCATTTGGAAATGCAGCACAAGCTGCCGTGTCAAGCTAATGAGAGATTTTGAATGACGGGGGAATGGGATATGTCTTCTACTTGACTTTGGCAATCCAACTTCAGGAAAACTTAGAAATCATGATTTTACAATGAAGCCAAAAAGTATTTTATTTTATTGATTAAATAGAAAGAATAAATGTATGATAGATATGCTTCATTGATATATTCGATGGTTCAAGACTTGGCTTAGCAGAAAACTATAATGAACATAGTGGAAACTTCAGAACCTTATAATTTACTGAAGTATTTTTGTTACAATGGCCTACCTCAAATCAAAGAAAATTGTCACCTGAAAAGAAAAGAGCATCATGTAACTTAAATATCCTCAATTTAACAGACACAGAAATAGCAAACCTGATCATTTCCTTGAGAGGTGCTCAACAAGTTAGCATCAAATGTGATTGTGCCAGTGTCAACCATTTTGTCTTGCTGATGGAAGTGGTCATTTGAATCTTGTGTCTTTTGGCTAAGAAGTGTATGCTGTGTATATTTTAGCTGATGTTGATTACAGTTCTGCAGTTGTTAGTGATGCAACTTAGAAACGAACAAGTACTTCCAGAAAGCTAACAGGAAACAAAAAAATTAACAGCAAAATGAGTACTAAAGTACAACCGCAGAAAAGATGTCACCTTAATTAGCATATCTGTATCTCCACGCGGCAAAATGAGGCGACCAACAGACCCCTGCAATCCATCATTAGGAACTATATCACTAACAAATTTTGATTGGTCATCCTTACCATAGCCCATATTCTGACTATCAAGAAGTGTTCTAAGGTTTCTGCACTCCACATCACTGGCAGATGAGGATGCCAAGTTCTGCTGTATGTGAAGCATAAGTTGTTGCTGGAATTGTATTTGACTGGATGGTTGAGAGGACTGCATCAAAGTCTTTTTCTGTTGAAGAAGTCCAGGTCGAAGGTGATCCAGTCCCTAGTTATGGATAAATAACTAAACCAGTGAAATGACATAAATGTTCAAACAGCAATGCTGCATGCATACAGACTGACTTCTTCCGGGTCCAATGAGAATGATGGGCTACCAACTGGGAGATGAAGGCGGGACTCAATCCCAGGTCTATGATATAACTACCAAGAGCAAAGCTCGCTTGCACTTTCATACAAGCTACACTTTAAGATTGTACAAACAGAAGTTCCAGCCACTAGCTAACTCTGCTCTGCAGCGTAAACACATCTAGGTATGACTAATGAAAATACTAAATGATGTGCAGGCTGCACACTACTGGAATGATAATTCAGTGTGTGCGCACGAGCGTGTGTGCCTGTAGAGAGAGAGAGAGAGAGAGAGAGAGATGTTCCTTTGTTTAATTGGTCAAAGACCACTAAGCACTTCAAAAAGTTGTTAAATTTATTGGTACAAATGATTAGTGCTAAAGTTTTTTCTTTACTTTTTCTCCTTTTCTTTCCACTATACTCCAGGTGCTGAACACCAATGGAATACCTAAGAGCCTATTCAAAAATCCATTTCAATCCACATATACATGTTTATTTTGCTTGTTTTTGTTAGAGGAACACATAATAGCAACCAAGTACAAGTTTTAGAACTCACAGTTAGTGGCCATCCCTTCAAAGGCAAATTGTTCATCAGTTGATTTGATCCTGAGACAAAAAGGATTGTTGATATGGCTAGGATTACAATCTTAAGAACATTTTGATCTGAATCGAATACAATAAGATCACGCGTCTAAATACACAGGTCAAAACCTGCAGTTGCAATACACGAGGTAAATTACACACAGACTACGGCAAAAAATTATAATTAAACAACCACTTTCCAGACTGTAAAATTATTTTGAAGACATTAAAGGACTTTGCAATTTCTTGTGGTTGTCCTTGAGAAGTTGGGACAGCCAGTAGAAAAATGCTTACCCAGTAGTTTCAAAGTGAGAAGTATCTGTGGCACTGAATTGAACACTTTCCCTTTTCTCAAAACTATTGCATCCATTATAATATTTGAAAACCGCAAGCAGAGAATAAAGGTCAAAGCTATAGCCTCGGGCTTAATCTAGTCTTCTGAGAGGCTCTTATTCAACTTAATCTTAACATCTCTGGTTGTGACAGAAAATTCCATTCTATTTAGGCAATTGACAACCTGTCGATTGTGCTCCTATAGTGCAATGGACTTAGTCAATTGAGTATTGCTTTAGACATGTTTGGAGACACAGCAAAATAACTCCTCAAGATTTCAGATCTAAATAACCAGAAATCAGATTCAAAACAATAAAAAAAGGTTGTTTGCAGTGAAGCAATTAGTACCCTGAACTCCGATCAATGATTCATCTGAACCGGCAGCTNTGATACACAATACAAATGTAGTAAATTGCATATTACACATGTACTAAATTGCATACACATCGCAAGTGCTATGGAAGCTAGTATTATTTATTAAGCATCAGCCCCTAATGGTCTTAGTTGAGATGAATCTATTAGCAATTGCCATATTATAAGGGGTGNCCTGAACTCCGATCAATGATTCATCTGAACCGGCAGCTCCGATGTTCACCATGGGGCTCATTAAACTGTTTATGTCCTTCTCCAGCATGCGAGACACAGCAGGACAAAGTAAGAAAGGGATAACAGAAAGAGACTCATGCTTTGTTCAATACACAGAGAGAGAGAGAGAGAGAGAAGGTGCATACTTGTACAGACAATGGAATTTGCTGATTCTGATTTTTTATTGGATGAATATTTCGTATAATATCTCCAGGAGTACCATGTTGTACTTGTCTGAAAGTTAAAACTTCAATGACAATCAAATTGCACATCGATGACATGTCTGCAGTATGTTTGTATAAAACCAAATTAATTACAGGATCAAGAAAAGGTTCAGACATAAAAAGATACCCCGGAGGCTGGCCTCTAACTGCAACTGATTTCAATATTGAGGCCTGATTTGAATCCAAAAATTGACTCCCATTGCTGTCAAACCTTGGCTGCATAGTTTTCCGATGTATGTTTGACTCAGAAAATAAAATTCTAACGAAGGTAAATAATAAGAGCAATTATTGTGAACATTAATGACGAATTGGACACCTGTATATCTGCATCGCCCAAATGGTCTTTCTGGACTAGAAGCTTCAAACCTTCCTCATACATCTTCCTGGCCAATGCATTAAAAACCTCAGGGTTCTGTCTCACAGAATTGTCACTAGCAATGCCCTTTTGAAGTTGGGTTTCATCTCTTCGCTGCTGCTGGTACTGCTGTTCCTGTTGCTGGAACTGCCTTTTCAGGATGACTTCTTGTAGTTGCATCTGCTTCTGCCGCTGCTGTTGGGGCTTCTGATGCTGTTGATGTTGGTGCTGCTGCTCTTGTGCTTTAATAATTTGGCCCTGCCATTTTCAGAACCAATAAGCTAGAAGGAGAGATTCACTACATATATGATATAACAGCGAGCATATAACCAAAAAAAAAAAAAATGAATGAAACATGTATTGCTTCTTTAGGCAAAGCAACCATGAGTATCTAACTATGTTGGATAAACAGGTTGGAGGAGGAGGAGAAATGTTTGAGCTTTGAAACTCCATGCACTTGCAGACTCCTCACCTAATTACTTTATAGAAATAAGCTGATGCAAGGCCACAAAGCAATAGAAAGAGAGAAGACAGATGACAGATTAAGGGAGCAGAAGAAGAAGGAACAGCGAACTAAGAAGAATCAGAGAGACAACAGAGAAGCATAAGTGAAGGAAGAGAGATATATTCCAAACCAATTCAACCCAAAACAAAACAATTAGTGGAAGTTAAATAAAATTACAAAACCAATAAAATCTTAATTGTAAAAAACAAGTAAAATTGCTCCAAAATAATAGACAAGATTTGATCTTCATTTCAAAGATTCATTCAATCTGTTAAAGAACCCCATCTTAAGTGCATAAGCCAACATTTTTCATCAATCAAACAAATACTTCCAGTGCAATTTTTTCTTTCTTTTTTCCTGGTCTTTGGACAAACTTGAGCCGAAATTTAAACTACATATTTTTAGCCATTTCACTGTGGATGACCAAAGAATTCCCCAATTTTAAAGGTGTACCCTTCGGAATTGATTCACTGATGAGCAGAACCCAAGTAAATACTAAAGAATTCTCTCACAAAAAAAAAGTTCAAAGAGGAGTTGTAATATGTTATTCAACTAAAGCAATTTCACGTTGGTCATGCCAAAATCCAACTACCATAACAAGGAAGATAGATGAAAACAAATAACATTATAAACAGGAACAGCATGGAAAACATACTCAACAACTTGCAAACAATTATACACACACACACATGCAGAAGCACACGAAGCAAGATAAATAAAACCCTACACTACATCAGCCACGCAACAAACAGGAATTTGTAAACACACCCATAAACCAACCTCATTGTAAGATTCAGCAGTGCTTGTGCCTTGGCGCTTGTACCTTGCAATGAAAATATCCCAAAAGATTGACCACCATTCAAACAGAAAACCACCCGGAGCATCAATAGCTGTAAACAAAAGGTGACATAATCAAATCATGCAAACCCAGGACACAATTCTATGTATGCCTGCAATTTCCTAATTGCATTACCAGTATGGTTGTTAGATACTTGAGCTTCAGCCTGAAATGTCTTTGCAGAAATATTGTATTTCCTCTTCACAAGATAATCATATATGTAAATATCCAACCTGTTGTCCCAAAAATAAGAACACAATACTCTCAGAAATTGGAAAGCTTGAAGCCTTTTTTTCCCACATAATATGAATAGTAATGATACGAAAACAGCCTCAAAACTGCAATACCTTACACCCAGACAGATATGGAGAAAAATATACTGAAATTGGAATCAGTATAACCAGGTAAAATTGAAAAAAGAAATAAAAAATACATCTTACAACCGCCCAAAACCCAGATAAGAAAAAATCGTAGTTAAAACATGAAAATCACATCACCACAAAAAATGGCAAAACAGACCCAACTGTTAAAACATAAGTCCCACAAGAAATAAAGGAATACAGATGTGAAGAACAGAAATGACAATGGTACTCATTAAAGTCAGAGACCAACAACAAAAAACTAAGCCACAAAAGCTCTTCACACTCAAATGTGAGAGAAAGCAAAACCCACTTTAAAAATGCCTAAACACAGAACGAGGACCCAATAGCTACGACGTAAGAACAGCATGAACGACAATAAAGTGAATAAACCCATATTCCTTCAAAAATGCTTACAGCATGGACCTTAAAAGAAAATGGGGAAAAAAAATAAGAAAATGGGGTTTACCCATTTCAGAAACACAATAGATAATACCACCCTGTAACTGAAAAGCACAAAACTGAACAAAAATATTCAGACTTTGAAAGAAAACTTGACAAAAAAAACCCAGTAAAACGATGGCAAAAATGAAATATACAAAGAGCAACCACAGAAACTATTAAACTAACTTAAGATTGATGGGACAAGTATATATTTCTTACATCTTTTCAGCTTCCATGTTGGGATGAGTCATGATAAAAAATTTTGGATTTAGAACCTCAAAAGCTGTGAAGAAAGATGTTTGTCATTCCTCAGGTTGATTCCAAGAACAAATGTTTTCAGCCCATTTGAATATGCTGACTTATTCATTTATACAGTAATAAAATATGCTTTAAATTACACGGATGCCCGTTTGCGTTTCCAATAATTCCAGATACCCCCGCTTTCTGTTTTCAGACAAACAAACACACCCTCCTCCTCCGTTAGTGGTATTGACCCCAGCTTTACATTGGTACTTTCTTTAAAAACAAAACCCAAACAACAGATTAAAAAAAAAAATGCCTAGATAACAAATGAAACACTTTGGCAAAACAACCTATTTTAGGTCAAATTTTGTGTTATTGTGGAGTCACTTATGTGCTAAAAAAACAAATATCGAAATCATGTTGAGTTAAATCGGTGCGACACGTAGATCTCGCTTAATGAGTTAATTTGAGTTGAGTTATATTTTATTAAACGAAGAAGAGGGCATAATTGAATTTTTTGTTTTATGTCAATAGTAGGAAAGGAGCAATATAAATGGTTTGTCAATAAAGTGAGAGGGGGTGATTTGGGTTCCTCATCCTTTATTAGTAATAATTAATTAGTAATTGAATACTATTAATAGTTAGTAATTTTCAGTTAATATCTCAAGTAAAACTTTTCACTGCCCCATGACTATCTTTCTCACGTCTTTCTTACGTAATTATCTTTCACTCACGTTTGTCTCATATTTTTTTTTTCTCACACATACGCTCAAGACCATAACAGCACCAAAAATATTTTGTATGATACACAATACAAATGTAGTAAATTGCATATTACACATGTACTAAATTGCATACGCATCGCAAGTGCTATGGAAGCTAGTATTATTTATTAAGCACCAGCCCCTAATGGTCTTAGTTGAGATGAATCTATTAGCAATTGCCATATTATAAGGGGTGATAGTGGAATTAGAGGAGGGCATTTCAAATATTACAAACCAATGCAACACTTTCCCATCATCACGCATTCATTTCATTTGCTTTTCCGTAAAACTTCCACAAGCTTACGACGATTTGGTTATGGAAAATAATTTTCTCTCTCCTTCCATTAGAGAAAGAAAGACAACATTGATATGAGCTGTATCCCATGTTTTATAGTCTTCATTTTGGAATATTTTGCCAAGTTTGTATAAAGTCTTCGCCATACTTTTTAACAAATAAATTTTAAAATGAATAAGGCCGTCGATGTGTAATTATGTATTTGAGTTAATTAATTTGTTATTNTTATGGAAAATAATTTTCTCTCTCCTTCCATTAGAGAAAGAAAGACAACATTGATATGAGCTGTATCCCATGTTTTATAGTCTTCATTTTGGAATATTTTGCCAAGTTTGTATAAAGTCTTCGCCATACTTTTTAACAAATAAATTTTAAAATGAATAAGGCCGTCGATGTATAATTATATATTTGAGTTAATTAATTTGTAACTTTACACGTTATCGTCGATACAATAAAAGATTTGATAAATTTCGAGTGACACCTTCTAATTTGGGTTAACCTTAATATTTTATTCGAGATACTTTAATCACCTCTTAATTACGATTGTAGCATGAGACAAGATCAAGAAAGTCCTCCCTGGACTCAATAAAATGCAAAAGTTTGACTCATTAATTAACCAGATGCCTAAAAAAAATTTTCCTTTGGAAAGGTTACTAAAACTTNTGAGACAAGATCAAGAAAGTCCTCCCTGGACTCAATAAAATGCAAAAGTTTGACTCGTTAATTAACCAGATGCCTAAAAAAAATTTTCCTTTGGAAAGGTTACTAAAACATNAAAAAAAAAAAAAATGAATGAAACATGTATTGCTTCTTTAGGCAAAGCAACCATGAGTATCTAACTATGTTGGATAAACAGGTTGGAGGAGGAGGAGAAATGTTTGAGCTTTGAAACTCCATGCACTTGCAGACTCCTCACCTAATTACTTTATAGAAATAAGCTGATGCAAGGCCACAAAGCAATAGAAAGAGAGAAGACAGATGACAGATTAAGGGAGCAGAAGAAGAAGGAACAGCGAACTAAGAAGAATCAGAGAGACAACAGAGAAGCATAAGTGAAGGAAGAGAGATATATTCCAAACCAATTCAACCCAAAACAAAACAATTAGTGGAAGTTAAATAAAATTACAAAACCAATAAAATCTTAATTGTAAAAAACAAGTAAAATTGCTCCAAAATAATAGACAAGATTTGATCTTCATTTCAAAGATTCATTCAATCTGTTAAAGAACCCCATCTTAAGTGCATAAGCCAACATTTTTCATCAATCAAACAAATACTTCCAGTGCAATTTTTTCTTTCTTTTTTCCTGGTCTTTGGACAAACTTGAGCCGAAATTTAAACTACATATTTTTAGCCATTTCACTGTGGATGACCAAAGAATTCCCCAATTTTAAAGGTGTACCCTTCGGAATTGATTCACTGATGAGCAGAACCCAAGTAAATACTAAAGAATTCTCTCACAAAAAAAAAGTTCAAAGAGGAGTTGTAATATGTTATTCAACTAAAGCAATTTCACGTTGGTCATGCCAAAATCCAACTACCATAACAAGGAAGATAGATGAAAACAAATAACATTATAAACAGGAACAGCATGGAAAACATACTCAACAACTTGCAAACAATTATACACACACACACATGCAGAAGCACACGAAGCAAGATAAATAAAACCCTACACTACATCAGCCACGCAACAAACAGGAATTTGTAAACACACCCATAAACCAACCTCATTGTAAGATTCAGCAGTGCTTGTGCCTTGGCGCTTGTACCTTGCAATGAAAATATCCCAAAAGATTGACCACCATTCAAACAGAAAACCACCCGGAGCATCAATAGCTGTAAACAAAAGGTGACATAATCAAATCATGCAAACCCAGGACACAATTCTATGTATGCCTGCAATTTCCTAATTGCATTACCAGTATGGTTGTTAGATACTTGAGCTTCAGCCTGAAATGTCTTTGCAGAAATATTGTATTTCCTCTTCACAAGATAATCATATATGTAAATATCCAACCTGTTGTCCCAAAAATAAGAACACAATACTCTCAGAAATTGGAAAGCTTGAAGCCTTTTTTTCCCACATAATATGAATAGTAATGATACGAAAACAGCCTCAAAACTGCAATACCTTACACCCAGACAGATATGGAGAAAAATATACTGAAATTGGAATCAGTATAACCAGGTAAAATTGAAAAAAGAAATAAAAAATACATCTTACAACCGCCCAAAACCCAGATAAGAAAAAATCGTAGTTAAAACATGAAAATCACATCACCACAAAAAATGGCAAAACAGACCCAACTGTTAAAACATAAGTCCCACAAGAAATAAAGGAATACAGATGTGAAGAACAGAAATGACAATGGTACTCATTAAAGTCAGAGACCAACAACAAAAAACTAAGCCACAAAAGCTCTTCACACTCAAATGTGAGAGAAAGCAAAACCCACTTTAAAAATGCCTAAACACAGAACGAGGACCCAATAGCTACGACGTAAGAACAGCATGAACGACAATAAAGTGAATAAACCCATATTCCTTCAAAAATGCTTACAGCATGGACCTTAAAAGAAAATGGGGAAAAAAAATAAGAAAATGGGGTTTACCCATTTCAGAAACACAATAGATAATACCACCCTGTAACTGAAAAGCACAAAACTGAACAAAAATATTCAGACTTTGAAAGAAAACTTGACAAAAAAAACCCAGTAAAACGATGGCAAAAATGAAATATACAAAGAGCAACCACAGAAACTATTAAACTAACTTAAGATTGATGGGACAAGTATATATTTCTTACATCTTTTCAGCTTCCATGTTGGGATGAGTCATGATAAAAAATTTTGGATTTCGAACCTCAAAAGCTGTGAAGAAAGATGTTTGTCATTCCTCAGGTTGATTCCAAGAACAAATGTTTTCAGCCCATTTGAATATGCTGACTTATTCATTTATACAGTAATAAAATATGCTTTAAATTACACGGATGCCCGTTTGCGTTTCCAATAATTCCAGATACCCCCGCTTTCTGTTTTCAGACAAACAAACACACCCTCCTCCTCCGTTAGTGGTATTGACCCCAGCTTTACATTGGTACTTTCTTTAAAAACAAAACCCAAACAACAGATTAAAAAAAAAAATGCCTAGATAACAAATGAAACACTTTGGCAAAACAACCTATTTTAGGTCAAATTTTGTGTTATTGTGGAGTCACTTATGTGCTAAAAAAACAAATATCGAAATCATGTTGAGTTAAATCGGTGCGACACGTAGATCTCGCTTAATGAGTTAATTTGAGTTGAGTTATATTTTATTAAACGAAGAAGAGGGCATAATTGAATTTTTTGTTTTATGTCAATAGTAGGAAAGGAGCAATATAAATGGTTTGTCAATAAAGTGAGAGGGGGTGATTTGGGTTCCTCATCCTTTATTAGTAATAATTAATTAGTAATTGAATACTATTAATAGTTAGTAATTTTCAGTTAATATCTCAAGTAAAACTTTTCACTGCCCCATGACTATCTTTCTCACGTCTTTCTTACGTAATTATCTTTCACTCACGTTTGTCTCATATTTTTTTTTTCTCACACATACGCTCAAGACCATAACAGCACCAAAAATATTTTGTATGATACACAATACAAATGTAGTAAATTGCATATTACACATGTACTAAATTGCATACGCATCGCAAGTGCTATGGAAGCTAGTATTATTTATTAAGCACCAGCCCCTAATGGTCTTAGTTGAGATGAATCTATTAGCAATTGCCATATTATAAGGGGTGATAGTGGAATTAGAGGAGGGCATTTCAAATATTACAAACCAATGCAACACTTTCCCATCATCACGCATTCATTTCATTTGCTTTTCCGTAAAACTTCCACAAGCTTACGACGATTTGGTTATGGAAAATAATTTTCTCTCTCCTTCCATTAGAGAAAGAAAGACAACATTGATATGAGCTGTATCCCATGTTTTATAGTCTTCATTTTGGAATATTTTGCCAAGTTTGTATAAAGTCTTCGCCATACTTTTTAACAAATAAATTTTAAAATGAATAAGGCCGTCGATGTGTAATTATGTATTTGAGTTAATTAATTTGTTATTTTACACGTTATCGTCGATACAATAAAAGATTTGATAAATTTCGAGTGACACCTTCTAATTTGGGTTAACCTTAATATTTTATTCGAGATACTTTAATCACCTCTTAATTACGATTGTAGCATGAGACAAGATCAAGAAAGTCCTCCCTGGACTCAATAAAATGCAAAAGTTTGACTCGTTAATTAACCAGATGCCTAAAAAAAATTTTCCTTTGGAAAGGTTACTAAAACATTTTCATCTTCCAGTAAATAAAAGCTTCTTTCTCACATGAATTTCAACTTTCCCTTCTCCTTTACTTGCATTGATATGATATTCTTTCCTCCATGACCAAATATTTCCCAAAACCTCAATCACTTTATTCTGCATTTACTTTATATGCATGTATTGAAGCAATACTTTGGATTACATAGTATTTCCCTTTTGATATTAATAGAATGGTGAATAGATGACAGTGTAGGATGGTTGGTTGTGCCAGTAAACAGGCAACCGGCCACCGGAAACATTGGTGGACCGGTGGCAGTCAGCCAGCGGCAATTGAAACGACAATCGGGCGGCAATATTGGAAGCAGTGATGTTAGCCTCGATAAATGGCTTGGCACATGACATAATGTTCAAATAAAGTTGGGCTAGCAGTAAGTAAAGCTAGCAAAAGTTTTTTTTTTTTTACTATTGAAAAAAGTTGGAGCAAAAGAGAGCACTCAGAGACTACTTCGATAAACAGTGAGATCATGAGGCCCCGTTCGTTACTCCTATCGAAAACGTACCTATCTAGACTAGCATAACACTCAACTACCGAACTTCAATGTAAATTCTAAGACTTGAACCTTCAATTTCAGGGTAAGAAGTTCGATCGAAACTCCACTAACCTATCTACTCGGTGATGAGTTAACAAAGGTTTGATGCTTTGGTACAATTTTAGAATACTAGGAGGACTACTAATAGTGAAAAAAAATTGGTAACCGGTGATACTGGGATCAAGATCTACAAAAGCTACTAGTCTACAACGTGGCCAAGGCTATAATCGAGGGATGTAGTCTCTAATGATTAAATATTTTTATGAAATCCTAACAAATTAAAGGACCACTTCATGATTACTTGAAGACCACCCTACTATCAAATATGTAAAGGCAAACGTCTGTCTCGCTAAAAAATAGGTCAATTGTATACACCAAGTTGTAATCATTTTCTTACTCTGCAAATAATATAAACCCTAAAAGTAAGAGATTTCATTTGAGAGAATTAGTCAAGTTCTTCCGCTAGTAAACTACTTAATCCATTGTGTTCCTAATATCGATTGTCACGTATTCACACATGTCGTACATTCCATTTTTTGCACCCTTAACCTCCCNGTTCCTAATTTCTATTGTCACGTATTCACACATGTCGTACATTCCATTTTCTGCACCCTTAACCTCCCTGTCTCGGAATTTTCAATTTATAACACCATTAGTGATAATTGTACAAAGGCTCTTTTGACTATAACGGTTTAAATTGCATGGCTTCATAATATATTGTATAATAGAAGTTTAAAATTCATATTTATATATCACCTCACATTTACGTGGTAAGAAATTTTTATATTATTTTATAGAGGTTGATTCTCAAATTCGAGTTGTTGACATATAACTCGACCGAGGAATACTAAAGTAAGCATTGTTTAGCCAATGANACATAATGTTCAAATAAAGTTGGGCTAGCAGTAAGTAAAGCTAGCAAAAGTTTTTTATTTTTTATTATTGAAAAAAGTTGGAGCAAAAGAGAACACTCAGAGATTACTTCGATAAGCAGTGAGATCATGAGGCCCCGTTCGTTACTCCTATCGAAAACGTACCTATCTAGACTAGCATAACACTCAACTACCGAACTTCAATGTAAATTCTAAGACTTGAACCTTCAATTTCAGGGTAAGAAGTTCGATCGAAACTCCACTAACCTATCTACTCGGTGATGAGTTAACAAAGGTTTGATGCTTTGGTACAATTTTTAGAATACTAGGAGGACTACTAATAGTGAAAAAAAATTGGTAACTGTTGGTGATACTGGGATCAAGATCTACAAAAGCTACTAGTCTACAACGTGGCCAAGGCTATAATCGAGGCATGTAGTCTCTAATGATTAAATATTTTTATGAAATCCTAACAAATTAAAGGACCACTTCATGATTACTTGAAGATCACCCTACTATCAAATATGTAAAGGCAAACTCCTGTCTCGCTAAAAAATAGGTCAATTGTATACACCAAGTTGTAATCATTTTCTTACTCTACAAATAATATAAACCCTAAAAGTAAGAGATTTCATTTGAGAGAATTAGTCAAGTTCTTCCGCTAGTAAACTACTTAATCCATTGTGTTCCTAATATCGATTGTCACGTATTCACACATGTCGTACATTCCATTTTTTGCACCCTTAACCTCCCGGAATTTTCAATTTATAACACCATTAGTGATAATTGTACAAAGGCTCTTTTGACTATAACGGTTTAAATTGCATGGCTTCATAATATATTGTATAATAGAAGTTTAAAATTCATATTTATATATCACCTCACATTTACGTGGTAAGAAATTTTTATATTATTTTATAGAGGTTGATTCTCAAATTCGAGTTGTTGACATATAACTCGACCGAGGAATACTAAAGTAAGCATTGTTTAGCCAATGATGCATTAAAATTCTTTAAAAACCTTTTATAGGTAGTTGGGAACTAACCATATATAGGAGACTTGGAGGAGAAGAAATGATAAAAATGGAACAACATCAGGTAAAGTTGAATGGTTTGTGCCCAAAAATTTTTTTTTTTAAAAGTAAAAAAAAAATGTACATCTTTTCATTAAAACAATTTTATTTTATTTTTTACTTTTTTTCTNAGGGTAAGAAGTTCGATCGAAACTCCACTAACCTATCTACTCGGTGATGAGTTAACAAAGGTTTGATGCTTTGGTACAATTTTTAGAATACTAGGAGGACTACTAATAGTGAAAAAAAATTGGTAACTGTTGGTGATACTGGGATCAAGATCTACAAAAGCTACTAGTCTACAACGTGGCCAAGGCTATAATCGAGGCATGTAGTCTCTAATGATTAAATATTTTTATGAAATCCTAACAAATTAAAGGACCACTTCATGATTACTTGAAGATCACCCTACTATCAAATATGTAAAGGCAAACTCCTGTCTCGCTAAAAAATAGGTCAATTGTATACACCAAGTTGTAATCATTTTCTTACTCTACAAATAATATAAACCCTAAAAGTAAGAGATTTCATTTGAGAGAATTAGTCAAGTTCTTCCGCTAGTAAACTACTTAATCCATTGTGTTCCTAATTTCTATTGTCACGTATTCACNGAACCTCAAAAGCTGTGAAGAAAGATGTTTGTCATTCCTCAGGTTGATTCCAAGAACAAATGTTTTCAGCCCATTTGAATATGCTGACTTATTCATTTATACAGTAATAAAATATGCTTTAAATTACACGGATGCCCGTTTGCGTTTCCAATAATTCCAGATACCCCCGCTTTCTGTTTTCAGACAAACAAACACACCCTCCTCCTCCGTTAGTGGTATTGACCCCAGCTTTACATTGGTACTTTCTTTAAAAACAAAACCCAAACAACAGATTAAAAAAAAAAATGCCTAGATAACAAATGAAACACTTTGGCAAAACAACCTATTTTAGGTCAAATTTTGTGTTATTGTGGAGTCACTTATGTGCTAAAAAAACAAATATCGAAATCATGTTGAGTTAAATCGGTGCGACACGTAGATCTCGCTTAATGAGTTAATTTGAGTTGAGTTATATTTTATTAAACGAAGAAGAGGGCATAATTGAATTTTTTGTTTTATGTCAATAGTAGGAAAGGAGCAATATAAATGGTTTGTCAATAAAGTGAGAGGGGGTGATTTGGGTTCCTCATCCTTTATTAGTAATAATTAATTAGTAATTGAATACTATTAATAGTTAGTAATTTTCAGTTAATATCTCAAGTAAAACTTTTCACTGCCCCATGACTATCTTTCTCACGTCTTTCTTACGTAATTATCTTTCACTCACGTTTNCTTGTTCAAACTTGTTTGTATTCCCCATACTTAATCATATACACATATACGAGTACAAAAATTATATGTAAAAGAAGAATGTTACTATCTCATTTGCTGATTTAATCTATTTTTGTTGTTGGATTGACACGNATTTTCAGTTAATATCTCAAGTAAAACTTTTCACTGCCCCATGTCTCATATTTTTTTTTTCTCACACATACGCTCAAGACCATAACAGCACCAAAAATATTTTGTATGNCTTGTTCAAACTTGTTTGTATTCCCCATACTTAATCATATACACATATACGAGTACGAAAATTATATGTAAAAGAAGAATGTTACTATCTCATTTGCTGATTTAATCTATTTTTGTTGTTGGATTGACATGNACATACGCTCAAGACCATAACAGCACCAAAAATATTTTGTATGATACACAATACAAATGTAGTAAATTGCATATTACACATGTACTAAATTGCATACGCATCGCAAGTGCTATGGAAGCTAGTATTATTTATTAAGCACCAGCCCCTAATGGTCTTAGTTGAGATGAATCTATTAGCAATTGCCATATTATAAGGGGTGATAGTGGAATTAGAGGAGGGCATTTCAAATATTACAAACCAATGCAACACTTTCCCATCATCACGCATTCATTTCATTTGCTTTTCCGTAAAACTTCCACAAGCTTACGACGATTTGGTTATGGAAAATAATTTTCTCTCTCCTTCCATTAGAGAAAGAAAGACAACATTGATATGAGCTGTATCCCATGTTTTATAGTCTTCATTTTGGAATATTTTGCCAAGTTTGTATAAAGTCTTCGCCATACTTTTTAACAAATAAATTTTAAAATGAATAAGGCCGTCGATGTGTAATTATGTATTTGAGTTAATTAATTTGTTATTTTACACGTTATCGTCGATACAATAAAAGATTTGATAAATTTCGAGTGACACCTTCTAATTTGGGTTAACCTTAATATTTTATTCGAGATACTTTAATCACCTCTTAATTACGATTGTAGCATGAGACAAGATCAAGAAAGTCCTCCCTGGACTCAATAAAATGCAAAAGTTTGACTCGTTAATTAACCAGATGCCTAAAAAAAATTTTCCTTTGGAAAGGTTACTAAAACATTTTCATCTTCCAGTAAATAAAAGCTTCTTTCTCACATGAATTTCAACTTTCCCTTCTCCTTTACTTGCATTGATATGATATTCTTTCCTCCATGACCAAATATTTCCCAAAACCTCAATCACTTTATTCTGCATTTACTTTATATGCATGTATTGAAGCAATACTTTGGATTACATAGTATTTCCCTTTTGATATTAATAGAATGGTGAATAGATGACAGTGTAGGATGGTTGGTTGTGCCAGTAAACAGGCAACCGGCCACCGGAAACATTGGTGGACCGGTGGCAGTCAGCCAGCGGCAATTGAAACGACAATCGGGCGGCAATATTGGAAGCAGTGATGTTAGCCTCGATAAATGGCTTGGCACATGACATAATGTTCAAATAAAGTTGGGCTAGCAGTAAGTAAAGCTAGCAAAAGTTTTTTATTTTTTATTATTGAAAAAAGTTGGAGCAAAAGAGAACACTCAGAGATTACTTCGATAAGCAGTGAGATCATGAGGCCCCGTTCGTTACTCCTATCGAAAACGTACCTATCTAGACTAGCATAACACTCAACTACCGAACTTCAATGTAAATTCTAAGACTTGAACCTTCAATTTCAGGGTAAGAAGTTCGATCGAAACTCCACTAACCTATCTACTCGGTGATGAGTTAACAAAGGTTTGATGCTTTGGTACAATTTTTAGAATACTAGGAGGACTACTAATAGTGAAAAAAAATTGGTAACTGTTGGTGATACTGGGATCAAGATCTACAAAAGCTACTAGTCTACAACGTGGCCAAGGCTATAATCGAGGCATGTAGTCTCTAATGATTAAATATTTTTATGAAATCCTAACAAATTAAAGGACCACTTCATGATTACTTGAAGATCACCCTACTATCAAATATGTAAAGGCAAACTCCTGTCTCGCTAAAAAATAGGTCAATTGTATACACCAAGTTGTAATCATTTTCTTACTCTACAAATAATATAAACCCTAAAAGTAAGAGATTTCATTTGAGAGAATTAGTCAAGTTCTTCCGCTAGTAAACTACTTAATCCATTGTGTTCCTAATTTCTATTGTCACGTATTCACACATGTCGTACATTCCATTTTCTGCACCCTTAACCTCCCTGTCTCGGAATTTTCAATTTATAACACCATTAGTGATAATTGTACAAAGGCTCTTTTGACTATAACGGTTTAAATTGCATGGCTTCATAATATATTGTATAATAGAAGTTTAAAATTCATATTTATATATCACCTCACATTTACGTGGTAAGAAATTTTTATATTATTTTATAGAGGTTGATTCTCAAATTCGAGTTGTTGACATATAACTCGACCGAGGAATACTAAAGTAAGCATTGTTTAGCCAATGATGCATTAAAATTCTTTAAAAACCTTTTATAGGTAGTTGGGAACTAACCATATATAGGAGACTTGGAGGAGAAGAAATGATAAAAATGGAACAACATCAGGTAAAGTTGAATGGTTTGTGCCCAAAAATTTTTTTTTTTAAAAGTAAAAAAAAAATGTACATCTTTTCATTAAAACAATTTTATTTTATTTTTTACTTTTTTTCTTGTTCAAACTTGTTTGTATTCCCCATACTTAATCATATACACATATACGAGTACGAAAATTATATGTAAAAGAAGAATGTTACTATCTCATTTGCTGATTTAATCTATTTTTGTTGTTGGATTGACATGTGGGTATATCACTATTAGACAGGTCAGCTATCAATCTGACAACAACAATGAATTATGTTAGCAAATTGAATCTNGATGCATTAAAATTCTTTAAAAACCTTTTATAGGTAGTTGGGAACTAACCATATATGGGAGACTTGGAGGAGAAGAAATGATAAAAATGGAACAACATCAGGTAAAGTTGAATGGTTTGTGCCCAAAAATNGATGCATTAAAATTCTTTAAAAACCTTTTATAGGTAGTTGGGAACTAACCATATATAGGAGACTTGGAGGAGAAGAAATGATAAAAATGGAACAACATCAGGTAAAGTTGAATGGTTTGTGCCCAAAAATTTTTTTTTTAAAAGTAAAAAAAAAATGTACATCTTTTCATTAAAACAATTTTATTTTATTTTTTACTTTTTTTCTTGTTCAAACTTGTTTGTATTCCCCATACTTAATCATATACACATATACGAGTACGAAAATTATATGTAAAAGAAGAATGTTACTATCTCATTTGCTGATTTAATCTATTTTTGTTGTTGGATTGACATGTGGGTATATCACTATTAGACAGGTCAGCTATCAATCTGACAACAACAATGAATTATGTTAGCAAATTGAATCTAAGTAACATATTGCATATAAAAGTTTGTATCCTTCCAAAATATTATTCAAACGTGTTTTCTTCTGCATTTTTATTTTAAACAAAAAAAAAAACGTTACCAAGCACTACATAGCAAATACTTTACCATGTGTGCAAAAATGTAGATGTACCCAAGTCATACTTTCAACTACATAAAAATTTATCGATAGCTTCCGCNAGCAAATTGAATCTAAGTAACATATTGCATATAAAAGTTTGTATCCTTCCAAAATATTATTCAAACGTATTTTCTTCTGCATTTTTATTTTAAACAAAAAAAAAAACGTTACCAAGCACTACATAGCAAATCCTTTACCATGTGTGCAAAAATGTAGATGTACCCAAGTCATACTTTCAACTACATAAAAATTTGTCGATAGCTTCCACTTTTTCTTTCCAATCACTGAAACACAGTGCAACAAAATATGGCAAGCTAGATTCTTTAATTGTGAGCAACTGATTGCACACAACACACTGCCTGTTTGAAGCTCCATGCACATACAAACGACAGTCCAACAATTAGGCATCCAAACAAAATAAGGGGACTACAGTTCTTGTTTGCACCATTCTAGCAGTCACGATAATCGTCTAAGCTTATCATCCTGTGCATCATTCAGTATGCAAATTCAACAACCGAAAATTTATAGGATGTGCAATGCAGGATCAAATCTCGAGAGGATGCGCATGATTCAAATGTTTCTCAAGAAACCATTCTAAGTTACATGATCAAGAAACTGAATTGTCCTCACTTTGCTTCTGAACAGAAAATCCACCTAAGAAATCCTTGATAGACATTATGGAAAGAACGTTGAAATTTGAAGCGGAGTAGTAACAAAAGAAAGATCCAATGCTTATGACCCAACATGACATAGCTACCTAAGTCAAAAACTTTGTTTCCCCTCGTCTATATTGGCCGGTAAAATGATAGATGGGGCACAGGTCACACATAAGCCGCTAGGTCACATGACAGAACACTCAAGATATAGATGCACAGCCCTCCATCAATAAGAGAAGTTTTGAGTTCTATTCCTTGAAGTCATCCTTGTCATCAACCGAAATTGGCATGTTCCTCCAAAAGACAGCTAGAGCACTTCCGCCGAGCTATTAGGAAAACAATGGCAGAGAAACAATGAGTAACAATACTTTCATCAGAATAAAATGAGTGGTAGGGAAAACTGCAAAGTTCTTCGCGTGAACTAGAAAGATTTCTGGTAACAAAAAATGAGTCCTACCGCCATGCAAACAACGCTTACGGCAGATGGGACAGCTACAAGAGGGTTTGTGAAATGCTTTTGGGCAAGTAAGAATCCAAGTGCAGAGCTCTGCAGATACAAATGAATTGAGTAAATGAGTTAACAAGTACACTGAGTTACCAGACGATAAAATAATGAATCATGAGTTGGTGTGTGAATTTTTTGCAAGAGTTTGCAGAGTTCTAGATTGTGATGAGAGTGACTTAAGAATTGTGTTTATTGAACCACCACCTTCAGGCAGAATTAGTGCACAAACATAATGAGCTCAAGGATGAGCCACAACTGATGCCATACTGGAAGAGTTTCATTCACTCAATTACTCTTTTCTATCAGCTTTTTTTCTTTTTCTTTTTCTTTTTAGTCTTGTTTATCCCTGGCTACAAGAAAAAAAGACCACTCCCACTGGTAGGTTTAGAGATTACAGCATTAGATAATCCAAAGCACCTTAACCTTTCCCGAAGGAGCCACAACAGAAGTATGAAACGATGATGTACTGTTGCAGATATAATAAGGTTCCATGATGCATGTATAAAAAACAAAGAGAAAGCATAGGAACTACACAAAGATCCGTGATGAAATTGGTCCATTGTCCAGCATATACCTTCATATGTACAATAGAAGGTGCCAGGTGGTAACAAATAAACTGAATTTATAATATAGACGCAAATTTAATAAATGCTTTTGCAGGGAAAACTAAAAAATGTTTACAAACATAGTTACCTGCATCCCACATTCTATGGAAATGGTACGAGAAGTAGATTCACCAAATGATAGTTTTGAAATCCAATAACCAATAAAAAAGGCTGCACCATGTAGCAGGGCCACTGGAAATAATAATTGTGCTCCCTGAGTTTTCAGTACATCTGCAACTTGCCCAATCTTAGATGGCATTGACAAAAGGGAAACAAAAAGTAAACTCTCGTGAAAAAACAAACAACCATTACTGAGATACGAAAATGGGTTGCTAAAGCAATTAATTACAGCATTGAGCATTTTGCAAACTTACTGGGCTAGCACATAGAAGGGTAGTAAGCATGACCCCAATTAAAGGTGTTACTGTAATTATCTTCGAAGTGAATTTGGGGAAGAATTCATTTGCTAACACTGCCACACAAAAAAAAAATTAAGACTCAAGAGAGTTGCTCTGTCACTAAGTAATATGAATTACTGCAACAAAAGCTTTTGCACATCTAATTACAGCTTCAAGTTACCTCCAACAATTGTTGGGACTAAAACAACCTGGAAAGTGCTAATGGCAAGGCCCTGCAAAAATATCAAAAGAAATTGATGTCTGTTTTCTTATTTTAAAAAATGGCACATTTACTTTCCACTGGAACTAATTTTTATGGAATTTAACAGATAGGTGTGGCCATGAGACCACTCAATGAGGCTATCGGCTACTGCTAGTACTGGGATGAAAACACTTGAATTGGGTTAATCATTAACCTGTCGACACACAGTTTGAAACACTATACAGTTGGCTACGGAGTCTTAGCCAAAGCAACAACAAACTTATTTAACAGGTAAGTTCCCATGCTGCCACGCAAAAAACATGTACAGAAGCAAGAATTATTATATTAATGTGGTTAATTATCATGCATGTGCAGACATACGGCTGCATCAACAGGGACAAGCTGACCAGCAAGAAGCTTTGTGAGGAGTGGTGTCATAATGATAGCCCCAATAGTTGAACACCTGCAAAATCCAAAGAAAGTCAGATACTATGCTTGGGTGCCATTAAAATGGCTAGAACTATTGTTGGCTATGGATATATTATTCACCCCCTTTTAGTGAAACAAGAATTTTACATACACTCTTCTGTTTTCAAGAAGGCTAAAGAATTGAACTGACAGAGAAATAAAATTACCTTGTTATTAATACTGTTTAAGTCATGTATGCTTCTGTACTGCTACAGTTGCAGATCTGACATTCTCTTATTATAATTCACACATTTTCTTGTAGGATAATTTTCAAGGCATCAAATTAAAACTACAGGACTAGGTTTCAAGTTCCATGCTAAAAAATTTTCTCCATTTCCTCTCACATACTAGTCAACCAGTGGCTCTAAAATATTTGTCCTTGATTACGAATGTGACAAATATAATTTCCCACTGCATATATTGGACGGAAACACTTGATTTCCCAATGTACCAACCCATCATCAAGAAAGTTTGGTGCTCATAAGACAATACAGGTACAATGGTTAAAAATCCAAAATCAGATTCTCATCAGTGTAACATATTCTTATCATCTCCGTGTTTCTCAAGCAAATTAGCGTGCACAAATTTGCAGACACAGAAACACACTTCACAGTAAATAAAAAATATTACAGAATAAATAGACTACCATCACCATCGGGAAAAGTTTGGTGTTCAATAAGACAATACCAGTACATGACTTAACATAAATCAAAATTAAGTTCTCATCTGTATAGCATATTCTTCTCCTCTCTCTGCTTCTCATGCACATGAGCGTCCACAAATTTTAACCACATGCACACACCACCAACGATCAAAATTTCGTTTCGGTGCATTGTTTCGGTCACCTAAGAAATGGAAACGTTTTGACCCGTTTCGAATATAGAATAAAAAAAACAAAAAATTTAAGAATTATTTTTTCAAAACATTGGTCGAAATATACCAAAATATCTTAAAATACTTTGAAACATTCCGAAATAATTGTGCAAATGCCTTGAAATATAACAAAACATTTTGAAATATTATGGAATAACTCGAAGTATTAGAATTTTGATTCCATCACCAATTCGTTTTGGTCTCCTTGAAAACGGAAACGTTTCGAATGTTTTAACCGTTTCGAAACGACATTTTGATTCTTGCACACCACACTAAAGAATAGATATCACAGAACAAATAGACTAACATTAGCAGTTCTCTTCCCCCACCCCCCAACCCTTAACTTTTTTTTCGATTAATAGAAAGAGAAAAGGAAAAAGGTACTAGATGTTCCCCACTTCAAAAATATTTCGCTTCTTAAGCATGAAAGTATTTTAAAGATATATCAGTTGTAAACACACTCGTTATCAATCTGCCAAAAAAAGTCCAACATAATCTATCGTACAACAAAAACTATTAAATGCAAAGAAGCAAATTCGGTTTACGTTGTCATTAGAACAGAGAGTGCGACATTCCCCTTAGATATATAGGTTGCAACATTTGATGCCTGGCCTCCAGGACAGCATGAAACCAGAATAAGACCAGTTGCAAGAGGAGCAGACAACTTTAGAGTCTGCAGATCACAGAGATAACAGTTAGTAATGTTTATTTGACAACCCCTATATTTTCCTTCAACAAACTTGCATAATCTCTGCCGTATAGCACTTCTTTAACAAAAAACTAATAATCCTCAGTGAAAAAGTACCATGCAAACTTTGCTTCTGTCACATGGAAAGGAATAGTATGCTCAGTTTCTCCGTGCGGTGAGCCCACCAGTATGAGTAATTTTCCACAGTATAATCTTTTTTTTCTTTTTTGGGTTTGTCCAAGGCGACAGAAAAGAGAAGAGAAGGAGAAAGAAGAAGAACTAGGAGAAGAAGAAAAAAACGGAGAAGAAAGACGTGAGAGAAAAACAAAATTCCAACTCAACAGTATTTAACAACCAAAACTATCTCATGCTTACACAATGCGTATAAATGCAGTCCCCAAATTAACTGGATTGGAAATTACATAGCATAACGTAACAAAAAGGTCTTAACTAAATTCCTAAAATTATCTGCCATACAAACTATCCGATTCCCTTGCATCTCAAAGGAAATGGAAACGAGTACAAGCAATCCAATTTATAAACAATCACTATGCTACACGCTTCTCCTGCCAGACATTTTAAAATAAGTAGCCCTAACCTTAGTCTTACTAAGAGTTTGAACTGATTCGCAGGAAAATAGGGGGAATGAATCACATTACTGGGATTTGGATAGTTGAACCGCCCAGCAAACAAATCACCTAATCAGAAAATCCAACTGACACTTAAAATACCACCTTGATCCACCATCATCATAACAAGATAAAAAGCCCTTTTTCTAGTTTATGTTACGTGGGCAAAGATCGGAAGCATAATTCCTTCATATTAATGTGAATTGTAGCACCAGATAGAAGTTGAATACCAAATGAGGGATTGTCAATGAAAATCATTCAGGTTACCCCTAAGTAGGTTGATCATGCATTCAGTCAAATGGGGCCAATAATTCTGCATAGAAGATTGGGCCGCTTTACATCTTGGTCCAAGATGTTCGCATCGCTCCAGTCTTTGTGTCCTCGAAAATTCTATCTATGCTATTAATCGTATTCCCATGTCTAAACTTTCTATTTAACCAGCTGGAAGAACCTGTGATTGTTCTCGACAGTAAGGAAGCTCTGTGAAAGCTCTAGACCTCCAAGGAATCTCACCAATATCCCTGTATCCCATAACCATATAAAATTTATATCACACTCTCAATATCAATAACAACGATGTTCTGTTATCTTAATGAGGATTGTCCGTCTCAGAAACCTGGATTTGTATTTTAAGTAAACCTAGTAAAGGTGAACTGAGGGCATGAAAGGCTAAAAACCTAACAAATACATACCAATGCGATAAGGAAGCCTAACACGGGTTTTATCAAGTATTGAGCAAGAAATCCAATGCCAACCTACAACACCAAACAAACAACAGTATTTCTTGTGTAAGAAAAGCAATAGTTCATGCTCCTAATATCAAGTCAGGTAACTATACAAATAAATAAGCCACTTTTTACAGTCCATGGGTTCCGTAGACAACGTCTGAAGTCCTCAAATGTTAGTGTCAATCCCATTGAAAGCATGAGGAAACCTAGGCCAACAGTGAAAAGGTCTGTTTGTATCCAAGTTACCTGTGAGAAGAAAAAGGTTCTGTAAACCAAGAAAAACTTGATTTGAGTTATTCATATGGCAGAAACAGACTAGTAAACTTACGGCAGCAGGCTTGTAGATGCCAATAATGGTACCCAATATAACCTGTCAATGTCAAAGCATCTGAGTCAAACTCCTCTTCTTCTTTTTTGACACAGGATCGTTCTAAATTCAAACCGTAATATTACACTAGGATACGGCATCAACGAAAAACAAAAAGAATGAAATCTGACTGTACCGTAAAAAGGTAATACACACCCAAACAGGAAAAAGAGTTGTCAACGTCTCAATTATTCTCTCATACTGGCTCATTCCACCTGGAGTTCTGCTGGGAAAATCTCCGGCTGCATTGGTTGCTGCCTTGCACAAAACTTTGGAGTTCCTAGGTGGAGTGGTATACATATTAGTCATGATAACTGCATAAAACCAGGCTTCCATACACCTATCAGAAAACGAGTCGAAAAACATTGAACCTCAAATGAGGCCAACGGGCTAAAACAAAATTAATGTTCCATTACAATTAAAATTAGTACAGAAAAGGAGGTCTTCCTGCGCCAGGAGGGTTTTTTGGGTGCTCTAAACTGCTGGTTTGAAATCAATTTTACTTAAAAAACAATAAAAGGTAACGGCTCATTCCCCCAGCACCCCCTCTACAAAAGCTACCATCTAACTTTTGACAGGACAAACTCCCTAAATTGATATCTTTATTAGATTATATAAGGAAGCATAAAACATAAGGGTTAATCTCATTGTATACCCTGAAAGATAGTTCGAATCTCAATTTGTACCCTCAAAGATAGAAATTTGTATCAATATGCACCCCCAAAGATCAAAAATTTCAATTTGCACCCTCAAAGATAGAAATTTGTATCAATGTGTACCCCCAAAGATAAAAAATCTCAATTTGCACCCTCAAAGATAGAAATTTATATCAATGTGCACCCCAAAGATAAAAAATCTCAATTTGCACTCTCAAATATGAAAATTTGTATCATTATGCACCTCAAACTAAATTGATAAATTATACCTAGATCCTCTCATGTTTGTCACTTAATCATTTGGACCTCTTTACATTTAGAATATTACTCCTACATCTCATGACATTTATGCACGTACAACATGTAACTCTTTTTCATTGATATCTGTTAATATAACCGTTAAAAAATATAATTTTATCCTAATAAAAAATTATAATTTCATATTACCCTTATTTTATGGGTCCAATATACTCTAAAGTTCAAAATCAAGCTTACCATTTGAATGTCTAATAAAATGTAGATATTTATATAATGTTTTTCATATTTTCCTTTTTATAAATATCTACATTCTATTAGACATTCAAATGGTAAACTTGATTTTGAATTTTAGAGTATATCGAATCCACAAAATAAAGGGTAATATGAAATTATAATTTTTTATTAGGATAAAATCATATTTTTTAACGATTATATTAACAGATATCAACGAAAAGTGGTTATGTTTACACATGTACAAACGTCATGAGATGTAGGGGTAATATTCTAAATGTGAAGGGGTTCAAATGATTAAGTGACAAACATGAGGGGATCTAGGTATAATTTATCAATTTAGTTTTAGGTGCATATTAATACAGATTTCTATCTTTGAGGGTGCAAATTGAGATTTTTGATCTTTGGGGGTGTACATTGATACAAATTTCTATCTTTAAGGGTGAAAATTGAGATTTTTGATCTTTGGGGGTGTACATTGATACAATTTTCTATTTTTGAGGGTGTAAATTGAGATTTTTAATCTTTGGGAATGTAAATTGAGATTCGAACGATCTTTCGGAGTGTAAAATGAGATTAATCCAAAACATAAAGCTGAAAGTATAACTTGGGGATTCTTTCCTGGACTAAAAGAAGCTATCTATCCCTTTTCTGGGTAGGGTAGTTGGAAGGGGGACATGCCCTTCCTTTTTATTTTATTCTCCTTTGAGAGCTAGAACTTAAATTTATATATATATATATATATATATATATATATATATATATAAAGTGGCCAACTGATCACCAGTTGTCGTGTTCAAGAATGTATGTTTGATTTCACAGAAACTATATCATACAGATAAACATACATTTGAAAGTGTGTTTAATTACCTAGAAGCCGAAGATTGGGTACTTGGGGAATGGGCTGTTAGAGCAAGAATTGGGCTCCGAGACACATTCTTGATTGCCAAACAACTTCTGCCATTCTCAGCAACACCAAAATCGCTTCTTACATCTAAAATTCACATATAGAACAAAACAATTTTAGAGGCAAGAAATAAATTTATCAAATTTCACAATCTACAAACTACGATAATGGTGGTATAAACTAATCAAACATCAAACTAGAAGCAAATGAACAATACCCATTACCCACAAAGCAAAAGAGCAACACATACTCAGATGGGTCTGATGACTCCTTGCAGGTAAACCAAAACTTGGTCTGTGAAGGACCTCCCATGACTGCAATTTCCGATCTTTTGCAACAAATCTAGACATAGAAGCCATCTGAAGAAAGAAAGATCAAGAAAAAAATGGACAAAGAAGTGATGGAAGGCTTAGTTCAAGCAAATTTTAACATGGGCTTTGAGTTGTAGAGTAAAGTGAAGAGTGAGAGGGGTCCAAGATAGAAGATAATGTGGTGGTGGTGGAAACCAATGAGCCACACAGGGCTAATCCAAATGTTGGTGCAAATTGCAAACCCACAAGTACATTTAGATAATGATTCAATTAATGAAGAGGTTTTTGTGTGTGTCGTTTGTGAATGACTTTTAATGATTTGTCTGTTGTCCCCCGACATTGACCTCCTACATCTTTTGAGGGTTTACTCTTTTATAAGTGAACCAATAGATATCTGCGGTAATAAAGTGACTTTACTCCACTGTGATTTCAATAAAATAACGCGGTCAACTATGTATATGTTTTTGAGCCGATGATGTTTTGCAACTCAAGATTTTTGGACATGTTTGGTTTGTATTTTAAAAAATAATGTTTGGTTTGTATTTCAAAAAATAGTATTCGAAAATAATATTTGAAAAGAGTTTTAAGAAAGTGATTTTGATATTTTTTGAGATAAAAAACTTGTTTGGTTAGATGATTTGAAAAATAATTTTACAATACAGAAAATAGTAAAACTTCTTTGAATAGCCTGTTATTAGCAAATTTCAAGAATATGTTGTTTATACCTTGGTTCAGACTATATTAAAACATTTTGTTGGATCCAGTTTTTAAAACTCTGATAAAAGTAAAAAAAATTNGATAAAAAACTTGTTTGGTTAGATGATTTGAAAAATAATTTTACAATACAGAAAATAGTAAAACTTCTTTGAATAGTCTGTTATTAGCAAATTTCAAGAATATGTTGTTTATACCTTGGTTCAGACTATATTAAAATATTTTGTTGGATCCAGTTTTTAAAACTCTGATAAAAGTAAAAAAAATTTAATAAATTTAAGATACCCCACCTTAACACATTTTCGGTGGTATAAAAACGTATTTTTGGCTAAAGTTTTGTTAAGACCAGATGCTAATAATGAATTCTATAAAAAAAAATTTATTTCAGGATTACCCAGTTTATTTGCTGAAAAAATAAGGATTCGCTTAAAGCAAAAACATGGAGGATTTAAAATCCCTTATGAGAATTATATTTATGGAGAACTAGTTTCTGAATGTATTTCGGAATGATTAGCTCTCTGTAATGATTTAAATCTTAAAGCTCAACTTAAGAGACAAAGATTAACTGGCAGAAAAGAACTTGGAGAATTTTGTAATCAATTTGCTTATACTCTTGATATACCAAAAGATAAATCTTCTAGCAAGAAAAAGACTTATTCCAAGCCTTATAAAAAGGGTCGAAAATTATATAAAAAGAATTATGAGATAACTAACAAACCTACTAAAAGAGTTAAAGAAAATGACAAAAAGTCTTATATTAAATGTTTTAAGTGTGAAAAAGAGGGTCACATTGACTCTAAATGTTTTACTAAACAACAGATAAATTAATTAATTACTGATGAATACCTTAAAGAAAAAATCTTTAAAATTGTTTTAAACTCCAAAAGTGAGTTAGAAAATAATTCTGATAATTTTTCTAAAGACTACAATATTAATGAAATTAGTAATTCTTCTTCAGAAACAGAATCTTTATGACAAGATAAAACTTGTTCTTTACATTGTAAAGCTGAAAATGATTATTATAAAGTTATTCTAGCTATGAATGGATTAAGTATAAATACTTTGACTAAATCACAAAATTTTATTCTAGACCTTATAAATAAAATTTAGGATCCAGAATCCAAAAGAAAAGCTATTGAACAATTTTTAGAGATAAATTCAGAAGAAAAGAGACTCAATCTGTCTCAATCATATTCATTAAAAGAAGTCCTTATTAGAAATGAAAAGGACATGCGTGATAACTCACTCCATATAAAGGAAGCTTGGCCTACTACAGTTCAAAATATAAAGATAAAAATCAATAAAGTCAAAGAAGACATAAAGGTCTTAAAGTCTAGAGTATTCGCTTTAGAAAAAATTTATCTAGAGAAAGTGACATACAAGATGATATAACATCACCATCTCTATCTAACTTTGATGATAAACCATTACCAAAAGCCAATATAAATATTCTAGACAAAATAATTNATGATATAACATCACCATCTCTATCTAACTTTGATGATAAACCATTACCAAAAGCCAATATTAATATTCTAGACAAAATAATTTATCAAAAATGGTATGTTAAAATTATTTTGGTTTATAAATTCTGAGTTTACTATCGAAACTATTGTAATAATTGACAGTGGAGCAGATATGAACTGCATAAAGGCAGGATTAATTCCAACTAAATACTTTGAAATAACTACTCAGTTAGTCAGTGTTGCTGATGGGTCAAAATTAAATATAAAATTTAAATTCTCTAATATTTTTATATGTAATCAAGTAATTTGTATTTCTACCACTTTTATGCTTATTAATAATTTAAATCAATTGGTGATTTTAGGAACACCATTTTTATCCTTAATCGAACCTATAGAAAGAATCGATTCTAAAGGTATTTTGACTACTATAAATGGTCAACAGATATTATTTGAGTTTATAACTTCACCTCAAATAAAATTGATAAATCAAATAAAAAAAATCTGATTTATAAAGAAAATCAATTAAATTTTTCATCATATTCTAACATATTAAAAAGTGATGTTTATTTTGCAGGACAAGACCAAGAAATTACAGAAATGAGTCTTAACCCAGATTCATTCTCTTTGAATTTTATTGTCAAATCATCAGAACTTCTTGACTATTTTTGTGATTATGCAGGAGAAAATGTTTATATCTTTTCCTCCACATGGAGTACTAATAATTGTAAATTTTCACTGTGGTGTCTCTATTGCAATGTTATGGAAGATCAATTAATTGATCATATACCTATATTTTTATTAAGAATTGCTAGACGTCAAAAAAAATCTTTAAAAACAGGTTTAAAGTTCCATCTTATTCTTGAAATTAATGACTGACACTATGATTAGCATTATAAACAATGACTGGAGACTATAGTCCCAGAAGAATTTTGTCAAGAAATAATAAATAAACTTGGTGGTATAACTCTAAGAACCTAAGTTTTGGCATATAAACATGCATATTTCTCTGATGACTATAAAAATGCTTTTGATGCATATAGAAGTGCATATTATTTTAATCCATACAGGGATTTTTATTATTTTAATGCATATAAAAATGTTTATTATCCTCCACTCTCTTTAGAGACATCATCACATAAAAGTGATATGAATGATAAACCGTCACAACAACTTAAAGTTGTCACACTTTTGTCAAATAAAGTTGACAATAACGAAAAACTGTCTGGAGATAAATCTCCTTCTATACCTAATTCTTTGACTTTGCCTCCATATATGGAGCTTCATAATTTTATTCAAAGGATATATCCTTATGTTAATGATCCCGGACAAATCAGGGACATTATTGATTCTATATAAATCAGAAAATATTTGGCCAAATTTTAGAAAAATTATCTGCTTGAATTTAAGAATAAAATTATAGCGGAATGTCTTAAAGACATAGATAAAGGAGAAGATAAATCTTCAACATATAAAACTTCATCTTCTACATCAATGGTTCCCTCTACTAGTATAAACACTAAAACTAATTTAAATCCTGTTGAAGTTCTTAAAGAACTAATTAAAAACGAAAAACCCCACTTAAATCCTGAGCAGCTTAAAGCCGCAGTTATGGAGGAATTCAGTTTTTAGATCATGTATACTTTTGGCATGAGCAAACTGAAAAGCTGAATCTCGTCAACACTCCTACAGTTGCCATAAAAAANGTGTCTCTATTGCAATGTTATGGAAGATCAATTAATTGATCATATACCTATATTTTTATTAAGAATTGCTAGACGTCAAAAAAAATCTTTAAAAGCAGGTTTAAAGTTCCATCTTATTCTTGAAATTAATGACTGACACTATGATTAGCATTATAAACAATGACTGGAGACTATAGTCCCAGAAGAATTTTGTCAAGAAATAATAAATAAACTTGGTGGTATAACTCTAAGAACCTAAGTTTTGGCATATAAACATGCATATTTCTCTGATGACTATAAAAATGCTTTTGATGCATATAGAAGTGCATATTATTTTAATCCATACAGGGATTTTTATTATTTTAATGCATATAAAAATGTTTATTATCCTCCACTCTCTTTAGAGACATCATCACATAAAGGTGATATGAATGATAAACCGTCACAACAACTTAAAGTTGTCACACTTTTGTCAAATAAAGTTGACAATAACGAAAAACTGTCTGGAGATAAATCTCCTTCTATACCTAATTCTTTGACTTTGCCTCCATATATGGAGCTTCATAATTTTATTCAAAGGATATATCCTTATGTTAATGATCCCGGACAAATCAGGGACATTATTGATTCTATATAAATCAGAAAATATTTGGCCAAATTTTAGAAAAATTATCTGCTTGAATTTAAGAATAAAATTATAGCGGAATGTCTTAAAGACATAGATAAAGGAGAAGATAAATCTTCAACATATAAAACTTCATCTTCTACATCAATGGTTCCCTCTACTAGTATAAACACTAAAACTAATTTAAATCCTGTTGAAGTTCTTAAAGAACTAATTAAAAACGAAAAACCCCACTTAAATCCTGAGCAGCTTAAAGCCGCAGTTATGGAGGAATTCAGTTTTTAGATCATGTATACTTTTGGCATGAGCAAAACTGAAAAGCTGAATCTCGTCAACACTCCTACAGTTGCCATAAAAGACAAAGAAAAAGATAAAGTTGAAGAAAAAAATAGGAAATCTCTCACTCCTATTAATTCTAATGACGACTTTATAGATTCCCAAGGATATACCCCTATTAAAGGTGACATTAAAATTAATGAAGATTTGCTGAATGTTGATATGAAGATAAATCTCCATGATTGCAGAGATAATGTACTGTCTACTTTAATTTTTAGGAAATGATCAGATAAAATTGATTTCTCAGATAAAGCCGACCTAGAAGCAGTGACGCACGTCCTGACGTCACTACAACGACGTGACGTACACCCTTACGTCACTACGAAGAAGTGACGAATGCCCTTACGTCACTATAAAGACTATGAGTAGTGTATAGTAAAGAATGTATAATAATTATGACGCAT